CTGTCCTTGTAGCTCATGCAGTATATAGCTATTGCTATACAGTTCCTCAATGAAAGGCAAGGCTGGTTGCAATTGTTCTTTTTCAAGTCTTAACTATCTGCTGAAGTCTGTACCTGTCCCATTTAGTTGCTGTACCAAATCAGATACTTACAGAAGTACAAATTACAGACTCAATCATTCCGCTGTAGAATTGTATCAACAGACTTGGGGCAATCTGAACTTTCTGAATTGACGCAGGAAGAACATTTTTGTTGTGCTTTTTTAATGATTGTTCTATTAGGTGTATATTTCTTAAAGTAATTAACTCTTAAAGTAGTTAAAACCATTTTCTTGACCTGATTCCCTCCCCCCAAATGCTATTTAAAAACTGAAAAGTGAAAGACAATCAGTTCAAGTACCATCTATTTTAACATATTTCACCATAACTCCTTTTCATCATAAATCAGAGTCATGACATTATCTCTTCTGATTATATCACTTAGTGAAAGAGTACCTAGCCTCATTTACCATTTGTAAGCCAAGAATATTATAGAATACAATAAAGCTTCTACAACTATAGAGTAATAAAATATACCAGAATTATAAGCATTAATATTTATAAAACCAGGAAGACTAACTAAACCTAAAAGGAATTTGTTATCCTTTTAAGTTAGCATAATGATCCAAGATCCAACAAGAATATCAATAATGTAAACAACAGAATAACAATATTTTAGTATCACCCTGCCAACAAAAGTGTGTATAGTCAAGTCTGTGGTTTTCCCAGTTGCAACGTATGGCTGTGAAAGTTGGACCATGAGAAAGGCTGAGTGCTAAAGAATTGAGGCCTTTGAACTGTGATCCTGCGAGTCCCTTGTATTGCAAGATGATCAAACCAGTCAGTCCTAGAGGAGATTAACCCTGACTGCTCTTTAGAAGGCTAGATCCTGAACATCAAACTCAAATACTTTGGCCATTTAATGAGAAAGAAGGACTCACTGAAGAAGAGCCTAATACAGGGAAAGATTGAGAGCAAAAGAAGAAGGGGACGACAGAAAATGAGGTGGCTGGATGGAGTCACCAAAGCAGTAGGCATGAGCTTAAATGGATCCAGAGGGTGGTAGAGGACAGAAGGCCTGGAGGAACATTGTCCATGGGGTCACGATGGGTCGGACACGACTTCGCAAGTAACAACAATTAGTTACTAATAAACTAAAATACAGAATTATAAAACAATTGATGGACGTGAAATAATATGATACTATGATCTTGTAAATAATCATACAATTATTCTTTTTTTGCAGGCAAGGTAACAGGTAATAAATATCCATTTTCAATCTGCCTTTAGATATCTGGCTGGAGTAAGGTTAAATATCTATTATTTTCTGCCTTATTTTAACTTTGGCTTGATCATAAATTAAGGCTACCATGGTTTCCAGAGAGTAGCAACAACGATTAAACTTATATAAGATGGAGCATTTCCATTTGCCAATAAGAGAAAAAGATCACTAGATAGAATACTATTTTTAACTAAAAAGAGTATTTTAATTGATAAGGATATTAAACTATATCATTGTATCAATCTGAGTGATGTACATTTGTTTCTAGTTAATTAAGGAGTCAGAAAACTGAGCACAGATTTCTCAAGCTATCATTTACTTATCATCACTGATATTAAGATTGTGATAAATATTATACTTACATATTTCTATTTTTATTATTTGACTCATCTTTCTTAAGCAGGTAAGAGTGCTTTAACCAATCATATTTCAAAATGGTTGTAGAGATAATTCAGACATCTCTACTTCCACATTATTTCATGAAGAACAATTATGAAATACATTTATGAAATATATTTCAAATAATTTAACTATAGTTTTTTTTAATTTTTATTGTTTTACAAAATCAAACTTGCCTAAGGTTGGTACTAGCATCATCACCACTACCATTAACACAACCATTACCCCCATCACCCCCCCCCCCAAATTTTACTATTTCAAGCCAAAAGACTTCTATACATTTTGAAGAGGAGGGAATCAGAAACAGTTGATGGAAAAATGTGGAGGTAATGCTCTTGCCAGCTTTATAGTTTTGTGAAATTTCTCCTAAAACCACATGGGCATGAACACTAAAACTGATGAGCACCCAGTTTTGTGCTTCAACCTCAGAATGGAAAAAAGGGATGCATAAATTATGACAAGCTGTTCTTGCTGATGCTTAGGGTTTCAGTGAATACATTTCTTTCTCTCTCTTTCTGTCTCTCGCTTTCTCAGCCATGCTTTGGCCCAGAAGGGACAAATATTCCATAGATTGGGAATGGCTATTAGGAAAAATATCCAATCACATTTATATTCTAATTCAAATGTTCATTAAATAAGTAATAGATGAGAAAAAGGAAGTAAGGAAATTGCAAAAAGAAAAGGCTAGTTATCTTTACAAAAATATTTAATTGTCTCAGGAACCTTCAAAAAGCATAGCATCCAGGCATTTCATTAAATTATTTTATTATTTTTATTTCCCCTCATGTTTTCTACACATAACCCAACCTCAACATACCTTCTTCTTCCTATTTTCCCCATAACAAAAACCTGGGAGGTGAGTTGGGTTGAAAGAGTGTGACTGGCTAAAAGTCACCTAGCTAGTTTTCATAGCTAAGCAATGGTCTATAGCAACTGTCTTTTAATAACAGATGAGTCTTCCAAGTCAGTCAATGTTTCCTAAAGGACCAACTTAAGATACTTTTATTACTAATGCAAAGAGTAAGATAGAAAGGTAAACTCCATCTCCATATATAGAAGCCACCACACTGCAATTTGATTTTACTTCTAAACAGTGACGTGCGGTGAGGTTTATGGCTGGTGAGGCAGTCTTCTCCTCCCACATCCCACTGTCTAAAGTGCTTTCTTTCTTTTGCCTGCCTGAGCTTTGACAGGCGGGCGAAAGGAAGCGCTTTAGACAGTGGGGTGTCGGGGGAGAGAAGAGAATGCTCAGGCAGACATAGAGGCGGGCAAAAGAAAGCAAGCTGGTGGGCTGCTGCTTTCTTTCTTTTGCCCAGAGGCGGGCAGCTCAGGCGAGCTGCCATGTCTGGGCAAAAGAAAGCGGCAGCCCACCACCAGAGGCGGGCAAAAAACCCGTCTCTGCTGGTGGGCTGCCGTGGACACAGAGAAAGAAAGCTGGCGGGCTGCCCGCCCTGCCTCTCCTACCCCCTTCCCTCTCAAATTGAGAGTTTGTCTGAGTGAAGAAACACACACACACACACATACACAAATTACTTACAATTACTTACAAATTACATTAATTTTTAATTCTTCCTCCTCCCTCCGACCCACATACCTTTCCAGCTGTTTCACAGAGGATTTCAACTCTGCTCTTACCTGCCTTCATGAAAATGTAAAAATGTAAAAGGAAAAAGGCAAGAACTGCTGAGGTCAGGCTGGGCTAGCTTCTGCCAGAGTCCCCAATGGATGACTCTGCTTAACTGTTTAAAAAAGCCTCTAAAAAAATGCCCTCTACAGGAGGAGACAAGAGAACCATGTGCCTCATCTACATAAGGAATTTTTCGGCTTTTAAACCTTTCTTAACTCTGCTCGAGTGATCATAAAGTCAGACTAAATGAGGCACGTGGTTCTCCTGCCTTCTCCTGTAGAGGGCACTATTTTTAGAGGCTTTTTTAAACAGTTAAGCACTAAGCAGAGTCATCCACTGTGACTCTGGCAGCAACTAGCTCAGCCTGCCTCCCCTGCCAGGACGTCACTGCTTCTAAACATAGGGCAGGAGGACCAGGAAGTACAGAAAGCTTTGTGCTTTAGCATCTGAGGCTACTCCCATTGTTCCAAATATCTGCTGATCAAACCTAATTCTGGCAAAGCTTATGGACTATGGGTAGTCCTCAACATGACCACAACTGACCCCCAAATTTAGATTGTTGTGAGAAATGTAAGTGAGTTTTGCCCCATTTTATGGCTTTCCTTGCCCTATTCGTGAATCACTGCAGTTGTTAAATTAATAATCTGGTTGTTATATGAATCTTGTTTTCCCCATTGACTTTGCTTGTTAGAAAGTCACAAAAGGAGATCACATAATTTTGGGACACCGCAACTGTCATAAATGTGAGTCAATTATCAAGCATCCAAATGTAAACCATGTGACCATGGGGATGCTACAATATTCATAAGTATGAAAAATGTTCATAAGTCACTTTTTTCATTGCCATTGTAACATTGAACAGTCACTAAATTAAGTGTTGCAAGTCTAAGACTATCTGTACATGAGTCATTTGCTTTAGTGTTATCAAAAAGGAGGTTTGAAAGTGCTTGACAAGTAAGACATAAGAATTCTTTGGAGGCAGGTAGAATTTAGAAGTACAGAATTGGAGTATACCAGAAATCATTCAGAACTTTAAGATAAATTTCAATTTACTAAAAAATAATGTTGAATACAAGAAACTCCAAAAAGCTGCCTCCTCCTCTACTTCCTCTTCCTCCTCCTCGTCTCTAGGCCTTCCAGCCCCTGCTTCAATAGATTTGCAGTGAGAAAAAAAAATACTTATCCCTATCTGTCCATTAAAGGATGGAGAAAAAGTGGCTACTATTTTTTTCTTGCAGCAGGGGTCAGAGAATACTGAAGTGATTCATTGTCAGCCTCTGTGGCTTAGTGGTAGGAGCTGATTTAATTTTTTATTTGTATTTCTTATCTTTTAATCATCTATCTCCTTCAGATTTGCTAAAAAATTAAGTATGACTTCCATTTTTATATCACAATTATTTAACAGGGCCTTTCAAAGATATGAAAAATGATGACAAATAAAAACTGAAATCATTGATTTTCTTTTGAAAACTGATCATATATGGGGAAGTGTATACCAGAGAAGCAGCGCCATTGTATGTATTTGTTTTATTTATTTTGCAATTTGGAGTTTAACTCTAAACTCTAAGTAACTTACAATTAAAAAGATTTGAATGATGTACTAATTAAAGCTAAAATCCATATAAACATAAACAATTTCTGAAAAAAATGTTTACCTATTACTTTTCCTAGAAAGAGTGACTTCAGTGAGCTGAACTGAAGGCTTGATGATCCTGGTATAGTGTAGCTTATTGGGGGATAAAGGTCCAGCTAGAGAAACATGAAAACAAAGATGTCAAACTTTGAAGATTGCAGGCTAATAAAGTTACTGAAGTGGATCTTCCCTGATGATAAGCACTGCTCTGCTTTCAGATGTTCTTGTTTTATCCCTGATAAGCAGTTTACCACAATTGGCATAATTAGGCAATCAAGATCAGGTCATCAATCCTTTGAAAACATACTTCCTAAATATGGCATTCATTCAATTCCATTCCACCTCAAATTAACTTGGTCACATAAAATCACAAAAATCAGGAGGCTAGTGGCATCTTATCTGACTAATACATTTTATTAAAAGGTATACACTTTCATAAACTGTCCCCTTAGACTAACACAGCTGTCCTGCTATAAAATGCACAATAATTTCCATTATCCATTAAGTGAGAAACTAAAATTAAAGGCATTTATTTAATCTCGCATTCCTGGTAGATTGCAAAAGAAATTTATTCAAATTTGACACAGATCCAAATGGCAAATTTGATATCAAATTTTGATAAGATTGAAGTGAGAGTAAGAGAAAAAAAGAGAGCAGTCTAGGCTTAAAATTGAGCTTCAGTTTTTTGTTTTCAACAAATTAGATTTGTTGAATTTGGATTTCTTTATTACAAAATAAAAAATACCCCATATTTATTTTGGGATAATTTGACATTTCTATTATTTGAGATATAGAAATACATAAAATCCATTGAATTCAAATTTAAAAGTTCTTTAAATATTTTTGACTTTAACATAACTTGAAATTAGGGAGAAAGAGGAGCTAGAAACAGGGATGTAGAAAAAAGAATATAAATTTCACAGCTCAATAAGTTTTGGTATACTGTTATAAATGTAATCTTCTGATGTTTAAACTGCTCTTTTGGTTTGCTTATATGTTCTATATAAAATATTCAGATGTTCTTGGCCAAGTGCTGAAATTGGCTAAAAGGCCCAAACAAAGAAGAAATTGGATGTAAATTATGCCTTGGCTAGAAAACTTTAAAATACAATGTTAAAAATTCAGTGCATTTGGGAGCTGTGTTCTTATCCTTTGACAGCGATAAACTATTAACAGTTTAGTAACCCAATATGTTTTTTTAAGAAATGTTATTGGATGGTCAAGATAATAAAAAAGAGCCTTTTTATACAGACTATCAGAGTTTATTAGTGTACTGGAGTGATACTACACAGTTTACAGGAATATCATTGTGAATTTTATTATTTGCCACTATTACAGGAATGTGGGTATCTTTTGCCAAGAAAATAGTAATTTCCATAAAACATAGCCAGTTGTGTATACAGACAATATGTATATCATAGATCTCACAAGCTCAACAATTAAAAAAAAAACAACCCCCAAACAACTATCTCCATATGAAATGGCTGCCAGACTCAGCATTTCTGGGAAAATGCACTCAGAAGGTGATTGATTGGCCTGGAAATTTATAAGTTATGTTTTGCTGGCAGGAATCTTTCCAGAAGCTATGATATGGTGCCATCTTGTGGCTCTCAAGGAGTAAATCAATAGAAGAGAAAGATTTGCACAGCTCCCATTCTTGGTATAGTTTTTCTAATAAACCTTAGGGGGAGAACTAACAATTACAAATACTATATGGATGTGTTACTTGCCTAGACATGTAGTTGAAAAGTCATCATTAATAATTTTATTGTACACCATTCAGAGTCTTGAAAGTGATATAAAATGATTAATAAATAAATAAATTTAATTATAGTTTGAGATTTTAAAAAGTGTTGCATTTTCTCTTTAAAAAGAGAAACATGATCTAAGAAAAATATTTATGAACATAATGAATATATATTTAGAAATTCCTTTGGCAAAAATGTCTAAATATATCTATTACTAAAAAATAGTAAATTTCGTACCACTTGAAATTCAGTACTATGGTAGTGTCATGCATGTTATGATTCCATATCACAGTCATATATGCTTGTAGGAAACGTGGGATTTAAATCTAATGAATAATTGAATAGTAAATATAATATTTCTTTTAAATAAAATCTGACAAGGGACACAATTAGAATAATCACATTTAGCTTTCAGAAAACATGAAACAGGCTAGGAAGCAGAGGGGATAGTCATATCCCAAGCAAAATAAAACAATTGCTTTCAAGTTCTACATAAATGTCTCTCTAATATTAAGGCTTTAAAAATAGTACTTAATGATAAAAATCAAAATTTTAATCAGACTTCTCCAAGGCCTGTCGAATAAACCACATCTTTCATTCCTTCTTTGATATTCAATTGTACTATGATGCAATTATAAACATAAGTCAAATGATTTCTTGCATAAAAAGAAGATAGAAAATAAGTAACAATAATCCATTATCTATGTTCTTTATCTTCTATTTCAAAGATGGAATAAATGTTTCATATATAATTGATTCATTGATTGCTTGAGGTTTATCCACATTTTGTCTCCATGTAGCCTGTAAATTTGCAAGTTAAATTTTCGTAGGATATTTAAAACTTAGCAGTGATATTATTATTCAGCTTCATCCGTTATAAAGTCATTGGTATGCCTTTACCTGGAGGACTATGTCTTTTCCTACCCGTGTGATATTCACACTGTGTGGCTGTCCATTTGACACATTCCTGTGGTCTACATTGATGTTATATGGTTCTTTAGCACCTCCAAGTTTGTATCGAACCTGTAAATTTCCTACAAAATGAAGTAATAAATAATTAAATAATTTTTATTTTGTTATTAGATTATTTCATTAAAAATCCCACTTTAAAATTTTTATACTCTTTACCATTATAGAATATTATGTAAAGTTAACCTAAAGCATGCCAAACTCCTGGTGATTGCATCTATGCAGGGTTTTTTTTAGCTGCCTTATAGAAGTGGTAATCCCACATGCCACTTGTATGGTCTCAAATTTCTAGAATTTTTCAACATTGTCTTGCCTCTGATTAGCAGGCCCAATCCTTAGCTTCTGCAATCAAGCAAGGTTGGCATTTTACTGTCACCTGCTGACTGTTATAATGAGTTGAAATCCAAGATATATTTACATCCCACAGAGACAACTATGTTGTCAGCAGTAAATAAAGGGTAACTATGGGTTTCCCCTGGGTGCTTTTGTCCTATATACAAAACATGTTCTCAAATATCACTTTTAAGTACTATCAAATTTTTTTGTAGTATGGTGGAGAGGTAAAATACGCAGAAAAAAAAGGACAAATTACTTACCAGCTAGATTAATTAACACTGCCATGTAGTCCTGAGAATAAGAACTGATGTACAGCAGGATACAAGGAGCTTTGCTAGTGCTGAAGCTAAAATTGATTTCTTCTTTATTGAGATTGAGGTCTGACACAAAATTCTCTGATTCTTTGGAGCTCAAGAGAGTTCTGCTCCCTGAATCCTTCACATTATTTCCTACAGAGGAAAAATTATACCGGAGCCACATTCCTTCTTCAAAAAAGGCTCCAACATCTGGCAGAAGAAGAAGCACACAATATAAAATAAAATGACATATTCTGATAAGCATGTGACAGGTGCTGCTTTTAAAAACATTGGAAAAAGTAATTCACAGCTTCATAGATTATATTGCAATGGATTGGTATATTTCTATTTTCTTTCCTCTCATCATGAACCATTTTACCTGCGGATTACATCCTGGTTTAATATCTTGATGAGTAATGAGACATTTTAAAAAGTCCCCATTTTGTTAAAATAAATTAGCATCTCTACATTTTATGAACTCAGCTTATGATGTTTACCCTTCCTGAAGGCTTTCAATTTGCATGTTCTTAAATTTATCCACAATAGATGCATAATGCAAATATATGAAATTAGCTGGGGCCTCTCATCTTCATTTGCTATGTTTTGGAAAGGTTGAAAAGAGATGTTAAAATGTGAAGGTAAATGCTAAGCAAAGATAATGTAAAAGGAGCAGTATACACATTTTAAGGACACTTCTTCAGAATTCTAGCATGTTTTGCCATTATCCTATTTCAGAAAAAAAGTTTTAAAGTATCTTTGATAAGGTCTGGTAAAACAACCTAATATACAAACAACTGTTATTTTCAAAGCTCTCTTTGGTGAATTTATAGCTATCTTTCTATAGCAGAAGCAATAACATTTATTCAAACAATTCAATAAACTATTTTTCCTTCCTTCCTTCCTTCCTTCCTTCCTTCCTTCCTTCCTTCCTTCCTTCCTTCCTTCCTTCCTTCCTTCCTTCCTCCTGTTTGGCTACTTTATTAAAAATTAAAGTTTAAGAAACATGAGGGTACTATGAAACATGAGCCAAACCCAATCCCACTTTATGTTTCAGTGGTATTTTGAGAGAGAGACAGAGGGAGAGAGAGGGATGGAAGGAGGGATGAAAAGAGATGTATAAGTGGCAAAAAAGAGCTTTGGGTGGTCAGTCTGGCATCTGATCTCAATGGGAAAATCTTGATCCCTTATTCTAGACTTTTGGAGAGTAGAAGAATGTAAAAAAAGAGATTTTGTATAGATGGGGAATATAACTCTTACAAATATTCAGCAAACACTCCCATGGTTTGCAGGCCTGAGTTACAGAATTGTGGTCAATGTTTCTGGATTCAAGATTCAAAAAACAACAAAGTGGTGGAAAAAACAAACAAGAAAATGATAGGATTCGACCAGAAGTTCCTCAGCAAGACAGACAGGGGAGGTGTGGGCTCCGAAGAGCCTCACATGAACTCTGTCTGACAAACCAATGCAGAGATCCATTTGGATCAGAACATCCCTGGGGGGGAGGTGAAGAAGGGGCAGCCCCTCATCAGACCCAGAGGGAGTGCAACAGGTATCTCGTAAGTTGGAGATTTGTCCTTTGAATCGGCATCAGGGGGGGGGGGCAGCATGACAACACAAGAAGCTGCTGGCTTCTGGCCAAAGCATCCGAGCAGGAGCGTGTAGGAGACAGAATGAAATGCCTGGTAAGAAGATTTAATTAACCCACAGACATAAATCAGAATTTGGAAAAGGCAAAGAACTTTTAGAGTATAAATAATATCGATAGACAGATTGGGATTTTGGCAAAAAGAAAGAAAGGAGAAAAATGGAGGGTTAGCTTACTAGCCCAAAAAGAACTACTTGCTTTAAACAACTTGGAGACAGAAAGGAGAAAGCAGAGAAGTGACAAACCCATTCAAACACAAGCTGGGTAATCAAGAGCTGGGTTATCATCCTCTCTTCTTTCTCTCCACATTAGCTCAACTAGCTAAATTTAAGGTGGACCAGAACTCTGAAATAAGAACTGTATAACTAACTGTAATTTTGGAACTGGGCATTATGGAAAGGTGGGAACTCGAACAATGTGAAATTATAAAAAAATATGCATAAATTATTAAAAGCAAGTCAAATAGAATTTTGAAGTTAGATATTGAGGAATATAAAAAATATGCATAAATCATTAAAAGCAAGCCAAATAGAATTTTGAAGTTAGATATTGAGGAAATGAAGAAAGAAGAGGGGGGATAAAGAAGTGGTAGAAATGGTGGAAAATAAAAAAAACAGACAAAAAACTTCATTGGGTTTGACAATGGTATAGGGAAAATTGAAAAGGGGGAATGTGTCACAACAAAAGGAAATAAAAAGCAAACAAAATATCTCACTGAGTTTGACAGTGGCATAGGGAAAACTGAAGAGGGTGGTTACACCCCAACAAAGGGAAATACAAAGGATTTCACTGGAGTTGACAGTGGCTTGGGGGAAATTGAAGAGGGTGGACATGTCAAAACAAGAAAAGGAGAAGACAGGAATAGAGAAGTGGGACAAAAGACTTACTAGGAAAATCAGATAATTAGAAATTGTTATATGGGAAATATAAAGCTGAGATGTGGTTTACTCCTATATATGATAATTAAACCGAGTTGCTAACTGAGTGAATATGATAATGGAAAGATAATTAAATAAAAGTTAAAATATATGAAATATGAACAAATCTGAAATGATTATGTGGAGAATACAAAGTAGGGGTATGTGATTCACTTTTATACATAATAAATAAACTGAATTGTTAACTGATTGAATATGACAATGGAAGGACAATTAACTATAGGTTAAAATATATGAAATATGGACACATATAGAACTCTTAAGATGATGAACAAAGTGAGGTGTGGACTGCTTGTTATTCTACACAGTAGATTAATGGAATTGTAATGAACATTGAACAGTAAGGATTGTTATTTAAAGACAAGGATAAGTCAAGACATGAAAAAATGGAGGGAGAACATGAAATATACTTAAAATGGAAAATTATTGAAATTGAAATTTAATAAAATTTGTATGCCGCCCAATCCCGTAGGACTCTGGGTGGCTTACAGAAACAAGATAAAAAAACATATAAAAATTTAAGAATAAAAATACAGTTATTAAAATTACATACCATCCATGCTGTCTAGGTGGGGCTGGACATTAATCAACAGCCCCAGGCCTGCCGGAACAGCCAGGTTTTGGTGGCTTTTCAGAAGGCCGGGAGAGTGGTAAGGGTCCGGATCTCTATGGGTAGATTGTTTCACAGGGCCAGCGCAGCTACGGAGAAGGCCCTCCACCAAGGGGCCGCCATCCAGCATTGTCCGGCCGACGGCACCTGGAGGAGGCCTAACCTGTGTGATCTTGTTGGTCGTTGGGAGGTATGTGGCAGGAGGGGTCTCTCAGGTAGCCAGGTCCTAAACCATGTAGGGCTTTAAAAGTAATGACTAGCACCTTGAAGCGAGTTCGGAGACCAATAGGGAGCCAGTGCAGCTCGCAGAGGATGGGTGTAACATGGGTGAATCTAGGTACACCCAGTATCGCTTGCGCAGCTGCATTCTGGACCAACTGTAGTCTTCGAACACTCTTCAGGGGCAGCCCCATGTAGAGTGCATTACAGTAATCCAGTCTTGAGGTGTTGAGGGCATGAGTGACCATTCAAAGTGCCTCCCGGTCCAGGTAGGGCCGCAGCTGGTGCACCAGGTGAACCTGGGCAAAAGCCCCCCTGGTCACAGCTGACAGATGGTGTTCTAACGTCAGCTGCGGGTCCAGGAGGACACCCAGGTTGCGGACCCTCTCTGAGGGGTGTATAATTTCACCCCCAGGATAAGAGATGGAATATCTGGACTATCCTTGGGAGGCAGCATCAATAGCCACTCGGTATTGAGATTATAGAGACAGAACTACAAATTTGGGGGGGTGCATTGATGTATAATTATATAAATATAATGATGATAATAGCTGGGAATCGTAACCAGGTCTACATCTGGCCAAAAATAGGCTTGTGTGTGGGGGTGTTTAAAAATATTGTGTGTGTGTGTGTGTGATTGTGTATACACACTTTTCTTTTTTCTTTCAAAAAAGAAGGAGGAGGATGTTAAAATTGAAGATATATATTGAAATGGAAGTATAAATACCATCAACATAAAATGGAGCTTGCTCAGAGGCTGAAATACATCAAGTAAATAAGATGAAGAGTGCGGAGTAGAGGAGAAATGTAAGGGAAGAAGAGAGGGCTAGGAGAGAGGGCAGGGAGAGGGAAGAGGAAAAGAGAAAGAAGGAGTGGAAAGGGGAGAGAGGAGAAGGAGAGAGGAAAGGGAAGTAGAGAAGAGAAAGATGACAGAGGGAAGAAAGGAGGTAGAGAGGAGGAGGAGAGAAGGAGAAGAAAGAGATGGATAGGGTATGAATACGGCACATGGAAAGCAGAAGAGCCAATAATCTTTTTTGGGGATTGATGGTAAGATGAATCGATGTAAACATTTAACAATATAATATAATGTTGGTTATGTAATAGTATACATGTGGTTATTTGTTATGAAAATGAAATTCATAAAAAACTTACAAAAAAAGAAAATGATAGAAGAAATAATTTTCAAACATATCTCGTAATTCTACCATGTTCAACCAGTGCTGAATTCAAAAGCACCACTCTAACACACAAAAGATGCAGAAGAGATAATTGAAATAATCCTGGATATCCTTCTCTCTTTTCTGGAAAACACAGGGAGTCCTCAATTTATAACCACAACAGAACCCAAAAGTTCACCAGCAACATTGTGAACCATCTTGGCTGGAAACAGGGAACTAGGGGTAGCGAGGGTGACAGTACAAGGACTAGCGTGCCTCTTCAGCTTTGAAATGGAGATGAGCACTGCCCCCTAGAGTCGGGAATAACTAGCACAAATGTGCGAGGGGAACCTTTACCTTTATCTTTAAGTAGCAAATACACCACAGTAGTAATGAGATTTTAACTATCCTGACGTCAACTGAAAGACAAACTATGCATCAAGTGGGAGATCCAAACCTAGCTGACAACTTTGTCATCCAAAAAGTAGAGGATGGAAGTAGAAGATGTACTGCATTTTTCAGAGTATAAGATGCACTTCCCCCCTAAAAGAGGTTGAAAATTTGGGTGCATCATGTACATCAAATGTTGCATGAGCAATACCCCGAGGGAGGGGGGAGGGAGTTGGTGCGGCAGCAGCAGT